CCCGGGGCGGGCGGGGGCTAGGGGCCGAACCGTGGCCGAGCCAGGGCCTGGGGTGGGCCCTCCGAGCCTGGGGGCCGCCGGAGCCCGCACTGACCGCCCGCTTCCCCGGCAACTGGGGCGGCTCTTTCCGACTCCAACTCTCTTATTACGCGCTCCATGCCGCTCGCCTTTCCACCTGCCGCTGGCGCGCCGCTCACATGTCACCCTCCCCGCCCCCGCCCGCCCCGCGGCCGCCTTCCCAAATCGGGAGGGAGCCGGCGAGCGAGGCCAGGCGGAGGGAGGGGACCGGTGCGGAGAAGGCGGCCGGGCAGGGTGCACCGGCGGCCAAGTCGGTGCCCGGCCCGGACCGCGTGGCGGCGGCCAGCTGGGGCAGCGCGAGGGGTCGGGAGGCTGGGCTTTTGCAAGTGTCGTGCGCGGCTGCGTGGAGCATCGTGAGGGTGTACCTGAAGGCCAGGTTGGGGTGGGACACCTCGTGTGTAGTTGTGCAAAGCGGGGCGTGGAGTGTGGAGTCTTGGCCGCGGTCGGGAATGGTCACGGTGTCCTGTGGAGTTTAGGTGTGAATGGTTGGAGAGGTGTCTAGTTGTGTGTGCCGAGTGAGTGGCTGCGGCGGTGCGATGCGGTGGGGATTGAGTCAGTGAAGGTGGGGGCCGTGGGTGCGCTGTGGATGGGTATGAAGATGGAAGTGCCGAGTCCGTGGCACGCTGTGTGGTGTACCCCGGCGGGATTATGCCCTTTGCTCGTTTTGCAGGGTGTGTTAAGCGTGTGTGGCTGGGTAGGCAGCTGAAGGTAGCCTGCGCTTACCTGAAAGGCCTGGTGCCCAAGGGCTGCGGGGTGGTGTCAGGGTATGTGCAGCGCAGTGGGTCTCAGGTGTGTCAGTTTTTCCTCCCTCCACCGACCCCTGAGCTTCTCTTCTCCACGATGGGGGAAGAGCCCTCCAGTTAGGCCACTTGCCCAAAAAGGGGTCTCCCCTGATGGAGGGGACCTGCTCCCCGCCTACCCAAGCTGAAGCCCCTACTTGCCTCACTCCCAGGCCAGTCAGGTTCAGGGCAGATGGGGTGTTGGGAGGTGAACTCTGAACCAGCGTTGGGGATAGGACACCCCATCCCCAAACGCCCACAGAAACCCACCAGAAAAGGGGAGACCCCTCTCTCCTCTGGAAAGTTCTTAGTACCTGACTTCCATCTCTAGCTGTAGGGGGCGGCCCTTTCCCTTTAGCCCTCCCAGCCCTGCAGGGGGTGGTAATTTGGGTTTTCGGATCCTCCTTTCCTCCTTCTCGGCCAAAACCTGCGGCCACACAAGCCTCTCCCTCCACAGGCCCTGCTCAGGGTGAAGCGCTTCCGCAGCAAACTCTTCCCGGTTCCTCCGGGAGGATCTCGGGGGATGGAGCAGAGCGAGCGGGAGGGGAGGAGAAGGGGGCGGGAAGGAGAGCTCGATTCTCAGCTGTCAGCAAAGGCAGCATTGATCTGCTGAGCGCCGGTGGGGGAGGGAGGGAGGCAGGGCTGTTGGTGGGCAGGGAAGGGGCTGTGGGGAGTGCCTCTACCCCCATAGTGACCCTTCCCCACTGCCTAGCTAGGGGTGCCTTCTGGGGTCTGACCTGGATCTCCAAGGTTGCTCTTGACTCCAGGTGTGCCCAGAACCAGAGCCTGGTACCCCTGAGCAGGTGATGCCCCAGCCCTGGCCTGGCAGCTGGAAGCCCAGGGCCTGGCTCTGTGTGCAATGCAAGGGCTGGGTTAATCCAGCCTCTCGTTATAAGCTGAGACTGGCACCCCCCAGATAGGTGGTACTGCCTGTTTGGGCCATGTCAACCGGGGATCTTGGGGGCAGACTAAGGTCTGGGGGCAGTGAGTGGTACAGAGGCTTTGCCCAAGGTCCCACCTGCAGGGAAAGTGGTTGTGATGTTTCCTGAGGTCTTTCTGAGGCTCCTCTTGTGTGAAGAGAACAGGAACTCGAACCCAGGCTGCCCTTATCAACACCCAGAATATCTGAAATTGGTCTGTTCTGGGAAATTTCATCTTCAAGCATAGCATCACCCCTGGACCCCGAGCTTCTTTTCTCCAGGGAGCCCCATGTGGGGGACTGCAAAGATTCCTTCCCCTCCCTGTGAGGGGCCCTCATGTGGGGAGAGGGTCTCTCATTCTCTTTCCCAAATCCAGCCCAGATTACTTCTTCAAAAGCAGCAGAAGGAGGAAAGGGGCTGTGGTTGCAGCTAGAGGGATAGGAGTTAGATCTCAAGAACTTCCGTAGGGCACAGAGGCCGGTTTTCCTGCAGGTGTAGGTGTAATGGAGGCAGGCGCACTGCTTTTCAAAGTGGAGAGACACAGAACTCTTCTCCAGGGGCAGGGGGATGGAGAAGATAGTTCCAGGAGGCATTAAGCGAAGTTTAGTTGGTGTTGGGGTAGGGGGAGTGGAGGAGGCAGAGGAGAAAGTCCAGTTCAAAGAGGACAGGTGGCCAATCTAAGGGTCACCCAGGGGCCTTCCTGCCCCTATCCAGATTCCCAGGACATGACTGGGAGGATGGACTTTCCCCTCCGCAGCCTTTGGTGACTAAGACATTTTTCTGAGCAAACAGCTGTCTCGGGCTCCTTTAGTTCAGCCACTCCACTGGAGGGGGGCAGGGTGCTGTGGTTCCCCACCCTTCTCCCTCCCTCTCTCCCACCTGTTCCCTTCACCCCACCCTCAGAAACTTCCTTCCCACCCACTCTCCCCACCTCACTCCCTGGTAGCACTGCCAACATTTCCCCGCTCTGCCCAGAATCACCCACTGCACACCCTGGGCAAGTCCCTTCCCCACTCTGTCCAGTGAGAAAGGGGCAGGACTCCAAGATCTCCTGTAATTCATCACTGTCACCAGCATCCATCAATGGAGCAAGTATTGATTTGAGAGGAAGGGGGGCAGTGAGAGCTCCCATTTGCCAAGCACCCATTGTGTGCCAGCCCTGTCCCCTGTGGGACAGACAGCAATGCTTTGTGTGTGAGAAAGCTGAGCTCAGAGAGGTGCAGGGGATCATTGAAGGATGCACAGCCAGTTGGTGACCCCAGAACTGTCTGTGACCCTTCCTCTCACCCCTCTGACACCCACCTACTGTGCGCTGGGTCCTGGGATCAGTGCTGGGGGCTTAGCGGACCCCTAGATAGCCCAGTCCTTGTTCTCTAGGACTTACTTCTGCCAGGGACGGAGGCCCCCAGGTCTGAAAGGAGTGAGGTCTGGAAGGGGAAGGGGCTGAGACCTGGGTCCCTGGGGCCAGGTTCAGGCCTGTCATTGACTCCCAGTGTGACCTCATGTCAACCAAGGGCTCAGATTCCTTTCCTGGAGTGGGAGGGGGTAGCTTAAGTCCATGATTTTCAGACTTAGCAACAGAATCCTTTTTACAGACAGAATCATAAAGTGGCACCCCACTGTGTAAAAACCCTTGGAGCAGAGGTGCTCTGGTAGAACTGGGGTGGGGATCAGGGTCCCTGGCCTCTTCCCTGCCTACATCCCAGAAGCACCCCCTTCACTCCCTGAGTTTTCTTCCTGCTCTCAGGGCTGCTGGAGGTCAGAGGAGAGAGAACTCTCCATAGGCAATGAGAGAGGGCACCTTCTTGGGGACAGGGTTGGGACTTGAGCTGAACTTTGAAGGGTGGGGAGGACTTGGAGAAGTGGAGAAGTACAACTGATAATGCCTGCTGCTATTATTAATGAAGGAGCCCTGGTGGCTCAATGGTGAAGCTCTCGGCTGCTAGCCAAAATGTTGGTGGTTCAAAACCACCCAATATGGTGACTTGTGCAGGAAGCTTTACTTGCATTGTCTATTTCAGCATCACAACAACCCTGTGAGGTAGTACTGTTCACACCCCCACTTTATAGACAAGAAACTGAGGCTCAGTGAAGAAACTTGCCCAGGATAGTCCTTAACCCCTGTGCTGACTTCTGGGCAACATGGTGCTATAGGCAGAAGCACCACACCATCCCTCCACAGCAAAGATCCAAAAAACTAAGCCAAACAGAGAAAACAGCAAGCCTGAAACCCTAAGCATCAAATGAAGAAATAAAGAACTCAGCCAAGCACTGAATGGAATAAGAAACTGAGAGAGAACAGAGAGATATGTGCAGAGGTCCCCTATCAGCTAACGCAGCACAGACCTGCCATCTTGGACTCCTATCAGAGACCAGCGAACAGAGCGTACAAGAAAGCAGCTTCATGGAGCTTCCAGCAGAAGACAGAACAACCGGTGACCAACGAAATATGCTTTCCTTAACTGCCCCCCCACCCCTTCTTCATCCCCACTTGGCCTCCTCTGCTTCCTGCAGCCACAGTCTTTTGGCCAGGAAACACCAGCTTCACCCCAGTGCTGCTTGGATTCCACCCGCCCACACTGCCATTTGTTGGCTGCTGGTGTTGCTTTTTTCTGCTTCTTTAGATTTCTTCCTTACCTCTCACCACCTCCCCTTCCTTTCTTTCAAATACCTAGCTCTGTGTGCCATCTTTGCTTCTTCTTGGAAGGCTGTGAAACGCCACTCGAATGTGAGACTGCTTCCTGGCTCTTGCTGCCATGCTGCTGGGATCCCAGGGCTTTTTTTGGTTTGTTTTGAACTGTTTGTTTGTTTTCTTTTTCTTTTCTCGAATTGGGAGCCCGTTCTAGCTGGGCAGTACTGCGCAGCTTGGGACCTACCCCCTCAGATTGCGCAGACACGGAGAGGGATCCCTGAGACCATTTCTTTTTTTTTGGGGGGGGGGTTCTTGTTCTTTTTTTGTTGTTGTTTGTTTTGTTTTCCC